CATGGAAATGCGCTAAAATCAGAGCTTTCACCCTGTACATTCACAAAAACCGCCGTGTTATTTTCTAATGGCTGCATCGTCAGATCAATGGTAGAGATATATTTAGCTGATGGCGTCGATAACACAGTCACTGCTCACCTTCTACATACATTTGTATGTTAGAGTAATCGCTGTATTCGCCGCTAAGCCATAAACAGGAGGCTATAGTACTAATACTGAGTCACAGAATGTCGTCATTACAACTGGTTCATCGTTTATATTTCTGCCTGCAAATGAAATATTCAAATACCACTGAGAAAGGCACTAGGAAAAGCTGCTTTGAATTAATTACCATTACCCCCAGTAAGTATTTTCGGTTTAATTCAACTGGTTTGAACTTTTGTTGGGCACGGCCACAATTGAAAGATCATTCTGTCATTATGAAAAGGAATAGTTATGATTTTATTTGACTGTTTACTAGGTTGACTTAGTACCTATTTAAATAGTAAATTTTAATGATTTAAGAAAGGATTAGAAACACATGGTATCAGAACTAAGTGGTCGATAATGAAAGGCACGCTAACTTTTGACGGATGTTGCTGTCGACCAATGTCTTTTACATCTGGAGATAGAGCCGCCAAGATATGACTGAGTGATGTTTATTAATGTTATTTGACATATACGACGGTAACAACAAGCACTGTAACTGGGCAGAGAACTTTCATAGGCGATAGATAAAAGAGATCAATGACTTTTCATTAACAACAACACTAAAATATTTACCGCTAAATGTTACTACAGAAACAAATGCGTAATCATGGTCGTGCAAAAAAACCGCAGGCTTGATCAAACTGTACTGTTAACACTAAGTTGTTTGATTTAAATAAATATCGCTAAAACCAAACGATGATGAAATTACCTCACGCGACCGCCTGTACTTTCACTTCGCTGACATTTTGAGTACACTGATATTCGGCCATTGTTTTTATCATTTAGGCTGTCAACTGAGCACATACAACCATTACACTGTATTGGTAAATGATCAACTGTTTATTACAGCAATCAACAACTGGGCTGCTCGGCAACATTCTGCACCTCGTATATTCGAAACGCTGGTGTTATCACGGTTCTGTTTATCGATAGAACGCAATATGTTACAGCACAAAATCTGTTCCAACGGTACTGCATCAGAAATTTGTGTATTTTCAGTGCGTTGAAATGAAAGAGCGAAAAAGAATTAATGTGTTGGTGGTGGATAATAGCCAAATAAATTTTTAATGTACGCTTTGTTTTGTTGTACTCTTAAGTGTTTCATTTCGATAAACAAAGTTTTATTACAAAGAGTTTCTGAGTATACTTGTTGTAATTTTCTGTCTGAAGCTCTGTTGTGTTGACATAATGAATACATATTTTTGTTTGATTTAATACTCTTAAGTGGTGACTCATGTGACTAAATATTAAACGATATTCTTGTTATTTTCTGTCTGCCTGGCGCTGGCGTTGACTGCTGACGACCTGAAACGAGTAATATAGTTACTGCGATTTACAATTCTTTTAGAATCACTTATGTTGCCAATTAATACACAAATTGGTATTTTGTTGGTGCTTTTTGTCGTCTCTAAGTTATTGTTACGATGTTCGCAAAGAGGCTGTACATATGTTTTAAAATTTTTCTGCACTATTTAGGGCTTGCACCACGCAACGTCGGCTTGACGTGCGGCATCTGAATGGCTGGGTATTTTAGTAACAAAGTAACCGCAAAAAAGCAATCAGCAAAGTAGCTACACCGCTATTTGCTTATATTTATGTTGGGCTCAACCCTGTATTCTGCGACGGTATCGGCAACAATGCATTTATAAAACAATAATTAAGCGCTCATTCAGCACTCGGACTGTTTCAACAGTTATGGTGAAATGCAAACTGTCGGCTGTGGCAGTCAACTAGTGTTTCAACGGTATGATTTACGTTTGCAGACAAATTTTCGTAATTTTCTGTACGCTTACATTGATCATTGTATTCCCGCTGAAGTGACTCATTCGCCAGTCACTTAGTATTTTCATCCTCATATATGAGAATTCTCATGCCTGTAATGTTTTCTGTATTTTAAATGGAATTTTCGACATTGCAGAAACAAGTGGATCGTTTGTTAATGATATAAATACAATTTTGTAACAAAGTTAATGAAAACTAAATGGTACGACTATTCAGGAAACATGGTGATAACAATTTATGGCCATTTGTGCCAGTAATAGGTTTATTACATGCTAATATTCTAAAGAATGATGATACCACGGAGATGTTTTACATCGAGATTATGGGTCTGCTGGCTAAATATATTATGCTGTGAACTGTCATCACTGAAGTAAGGCCTGCGCAGGACCGGCTAAAACGACATCGACAAGAAAATAATGCGCACATATAACGAAAAACGGAAAAATGGCTTTGCGCACCCGGCTGACGCGATATCACTAGCTGTACTGGCATTCATCAATGAAGTGAATATGCTCTATGTAGAGACAAATACGTATGCTCTATATATTATGTTAATATATAATAATATTACAAAGATAGATGTGAACCACTCGGAATGACTTTTACACCTTTTGTTTATCGAAATTCAGGCTCCTTGTAGTATGCCGATTCCAAAATATATAACACTTATGGGTTTGCATACACTTTTAATTAAGGCCCTGCGCGAACCGACCAAAACGTGTTTTTTCAGCTAAACCATAAAGGAAAATATGCACATGCTTAAGAAAAAGTGGCTTTGCCACCCCGGCTGATAGCGATCTTTCACCCCTAGCCCTTTTTGGCATTCATCCCTAATATTATAAGGGGTGGATAAATACATATATGTAGGATAAATACGTATATATACATATTATGTTCATACATATAGTTCCAAGAAATGGTATGACGTCAGCATCGTATTTATTTATCATAAACCACATATACTTTCGGGTGTTGTGTTTAGTCTATTTCCAGCAGTTGTGAAAAGTGTTTGAATGCTATATTGAAGAAGAAGTATGTAAGTGTATGTGTTAAACCTGGTGAGTATGGATTTCTAACCTATATCTTTTTTGCTTTAATACTCTTAAATTAAATTTTCATTCCCTCAATCGTTATATTTTTGCATTATATTATGTACATTTTTTAAATTTTCTGTGCCTACATTTTCTTCCAAGTTCGATATAAAGTTGTTAAATTTGTCTGTTTTTAGTAGCCTCTAACGCTTTGTTTTAGCGTTAACAAAAACCATGGGTACATGTTGCATTATGTACATATTTTATTTTTTTGTGTTTGTTTGTTTTGGAGCTTGCGCGACAGTTCGACAGTGCCACACCCCAGCTACAACAACCAACCGATGACTGTCGAAAGTCTGGCGCGCGAGCACTTTATGTTTGCATTATGGCTTTGCGACTGTTTTTATAGGAAATTGCGCATGCTAATTACGCTGTGTAGCGCTTATTAGTCTGTTTCTTACCAGCTTTCGCTTCATAGGTACTGTGCTTACGGTACTGCTGCTGCTGCCGTCGTATCGACTTCTCCTAAACGTGCAGTTGATGTAGACAGGCATAGCCATTGCAGTAAGTAAATAATATTTTAATCCCACAATTATTTTAATGCGCTGTGCGAATATTTTTATTCTTCTAGTCTTGACAAAATGGCGATGTATATATTTTTTATTAAATCTTGTTAAAATGGTGAATGTATATATCTGTACAGTGCAGTAAGCTCAGCGATTTTTTTAGTAAATTATTAATGACAAAATACGTGAATGCTAATAAAAATAATTTAAAGGTAACCTTATGATGAGGGGGGCACTCCTGAACTATTGAATAGGCCAACATGTATATGGTGAATAGCGCTCGTATGTATTCATTTGACGTGATGTACAACGTCGTTCATGCGTGATCTATAGCTTTGGACAACTTTAAATTGGGGCCCTCATCCTACAAGTAATTTTAAATGCGTTTGTGGTCATGTTGATAGGCGACCAGCTTGACGATCGACTGTCCGTGGCACACTTTTTATTAAAAATAAATTATATCTGTATATCTATGATGACGTCGGGCAGGTATGACGTCATCATCTAAGTACAGTTACCCATTAAACCTTGAGCTACCCGATAGGTAAACGCATAGTAGTTCGGGATAGGCCGTTGGGCAATTCCGGCGTATACATGCAGCGTTGCCGGATGTATAATGAAATGCGACGTTGCCAAATCTAAAAATCAGAAGATTTAGGGAAATTACATATAACCCATGTTATAAGATTTACATAGGGTGCCTCGCTATGGACGGGAAAATTTCCCTAAATTTAGGGAAAAAATGGGGGTTGACCTTGGTCTCAAGTAAGGCCATACCTACTCCTGTTCACCTGCATATTTTTGAGAAAAACCCTGTTTTCTGATTGGCTACCAGAGGAAGGTCCTCTAGCGGACATTTTTCGAACTTGAAAATAATTTCCAACGATTTCTCTTGGTCGATTTACTTATTAGAAATTTTTTCCCAAAGTTATACGATAAGTAATTTCTGAGATACAGCCGGCGTCCATTCTTAGTTGGCCACCCGGTACTATATTTAAAAGAGTTTTACTTATATGTATATTGTTTGACTATTTTCCTGATCTATTCTGGTGTTTCTCTTAAATATAGAAAAATCAAGAGATGGCATTTTCCTCAGGTGTTTTTTTTTGTTATTAATAATAGCATCTTTAGCACATCCAATCATTGAAATTTCCACAATGCTGGCATTCTCAGTAAACAATCTAATTCTCAACTGCTCAATAATTTTAGGATCTCCATTACTTTAAAATGTTATTAAGATTTTTAATCAAAAATGATTTTTTATAATAACATATTGAATATAAATATTTAAACGGACATTACTAGTAATAAGCGAAGTGAATTTTGTAAAAAGTGATATATACTTATTTAATATAAATTGTTACAAAATAAGTAGTATTAACCTAACTGTATTACATCTTGTTTCAACAATTTTCCTGTTATCTTTACTAACCTGGTAATATAAGTGGATAATCTGCAACCTTTAACAGAGTTTCAGGGTCGTAACCACCAATATTAAGCTGAAAGTATTCGGTTGGTGGTGCTGGAGGTCTTTGTGGAGCTAGAACCTCTAAAATACAATGGGTGTTAATATATTATATTACTATATAGGATCCTATATCTCCTGCGCTGAGCAAAGGGCTTCAGTGAAGGTTTTCCATCGGGTTCTATTTTTGGCAGTTGATGATATTGATATATATTTGATTAATTAGATTTATAATGAAAAAATGATCAAAAATAATAAAATATCAGAAAGTTTAATTTTCCAAACAGGCTACACTTGTATTTCGTACGAGTGTGCGCTTAATTTTCCTGTGTCCTACAATATTTTCTCAAAAGTCTTAAACCTCTTAAACTTTGTTGATCTTCTGTCAACTTCGGAAGTACCTAGTGAAGTGAGTTAAAGTTTGTAAAACTGACCCACAATAGACCCTTGGGGCCGCAATGCAAAGTCACCCCTTTGACCCACTATTAGCATATGTATATGAAGTGCAGTGGAGGTTTAATGGTTTAAATTTTGTTTATTAAATAACGTTTTATTAAATAACGTTTTATTAAATCACGTTTATAATAGAAAACATAATATACATACTCACGTATAATTGCTATTAACTTATTACTATTCCTTACTATTCCTAACTAATTGTGATTTTAAATTTCAAATCAAGTAAAAAAATCTCCAAATATATTATATTGTACTACCTTTTTCAGAATTATTCCAGGGCTTGTTGGAATAAGTATCCAAAAGCTTCACTCCTATAGGAATTGAGTTATTCTGGTCGTTAACAAAAACAGTTGTTATATTTTCTTCCCGGATAATTGCAATTTGGACAGATTTGCTGGTATTTAAGTATTTGTATGGTACCGTAATATTATGTATTTGATTTTCATGATTGAATAAATATTCAATTTTAGTACCTAAAAATAGATAATTGAGTTAATCAACAGAATATTTCAATTCTTCACTCAAACATGTTAACATCATATCATAAATCATAACATTTTAAGTTTATTATTATAAACTCAATTAAATAGAAATACAAATATCATGCATGTCAACCGTTAATAACATTAGTAACATAATGATATGTAAGGTAATATACATGATCTCCCAATATTCTGTACACATTAGGTTGGAACCAAAATTAGGTAATTGAACACAATTTACCTCTATACAAAAAAGTGCTCCCTTTGCCCGTTAAAGGGCAGTAATAAAAAATAAACGCAAAATTTAATTAATTTAAAATTTATGAAAAATATTGTTAAAGATCACTGATTGCGTTAACTAGAAATCGTTGTGGAAATAATTGTGATAAATGACAATTGGAATTTATTGTGAACTGTAGTAATCAAATATTTTTGTTCAATTACAAGCGATTCATATTATCCGTAAAAGGATGGCATAAAAATGAAGCAAATTTTAAAAACTACAGCATTCTTTAATCAATGGAACTCTTTTAAATTCAGCCAATAAAATTAAAATCGTATTGTCGGATATAGGATGCATAAAAATTAGGTAGATTAAAACTGGAGGCTACGACACTGAAATATATTTTTGTGTCAATTTTGTTTGATTATGCTCGTAGCAAATTTTAATGTTTGCGAGTTGTTGCGCTCTCTATATTTGTTTTGTGTTATTTCTGGTTTAGTTTATAATTGGTAATTGTACAAAACATATACACCTGGAAAGACATTATGTCCACACAATGAGATAATTGTGAGTCTTAGAAAAAAGCTCAAAAAATAACTACTCGTTACTAAATCAATAAAAAAAAGTTCGGAATTAAATAATTTTACATTGTTCTATTTATTTTTATCCTTACTAACTTTATAAACGCAAAAGTTTGTTTGTACGTATGGATGTATGTATAGATGTTCGTTACTCTTTCACGCAAAAATTATTGAATGGTTTTTAATGAAACTTTACAATAATATAGCTTATACATCGTCATTAGTAGTTGTGTCCGTTTTGCAAATTTTCAAGGCACTAGAGATTTGTTAAAACGCGCTCTACCTATGTAATGTAATAGATAGGTACTGGCAGTTTTTTAGTGGTTAGAAGTTGCAATATATAAGAAGATACTTTATGTAGAATAAATTGAAATTTTATGCGGACGACGTCGCGTGAAAAAACTGGTTAGAAATATTGTTTAATCAGTTTTAATCATTATTAACATTTACTAAGTCAATATAAAAGAAAATCAGCAATTTATTGAAAATATACCAATCTATGATCTATGTTTTAGTATGTTAAAATAATTGAGTGCCACTGACTGGCTGACTGATATTCAAGTCGATTGATAAACTTCTACCATTATTTTTTTATTCAATGAAAAATTTTAATTAAATTAAAAAAAAAATGAATTACCTTCGATAATGTGTAAATGCACAAAATTGTTTAAATGGTCATTTGCATAAAATATTAAAGAATTGTTGTCATACGTTCTTAAATTAAGTAGTATCCTTTTTTTAAATATATCTTTTAATATATTTTTCTCGTCTCCTGTGTCATTAGTAAAATAGTTTTTATGCAAATATGATTCACTGTGGGTAAAGGTAACAGCATTGGTGTTGATATCTAGAAACATAATTCTATAATAAATTACAAAGTTATATTAAAACACAATAATCTGGTTATTAAACACTAAAGAAAAATAGAATCCTAAAACTAAAGAAAGTAGAATCAAATTTAGATACAAGTTTGAATGTGGTAGTTTTAAAATCTTGTTAAAAAAATGTAAATTGAAAATTAGTATTTTGCAAAAAAATAACTTGTTGCAACTTTTTTAACAAAAATTTTGCAACAAATTAGAAAATATTTCATTTAGTTTTAAAAAAAATATAATTACAGATTCTTTCGGATGACAAAAATCTTCTAATCAATGCAAAGAGTAGAGATAAGTTAAGTGTAAAATTGTAAAATTCCACACAATAACATAAACAGACAAAAATGTAGTGGTACTTTTGCAGGTCACAACAATCTCCCTCATGTCCAATAGATGACATAAAAACCAAGTGCCCTTCGACAATATATGGAAAGAATCATACTACTCTACCTCGAAACAGACCTAACCAACAATAACATTCAGGTTTGTATCTAAATTAGATCCTAAAAGTTATTAATAAAGGAGTTGTATGGACAACCCTGTAGGTATTACATAGTACCGTATCATCAAAACAAAAACGGCGTCCAGTTGGTTTGGAAATAACGATCGATCCCCATATAATTTTACATATAAATTGTCGCTGACGCCGTTTTTTTCCGATCATATTGTATGTTATTGGCTTACTAATTTCACAATATTCTCCAGTATATGCCCACGGATTTGGACAGATGCATTCAAATCTACTCCATAATTCTTTACACTGCGCTCCATTTTTACAAGGATTTGGAACACATGATGGTTTACAATCTTTGATTATCTCACTTAAATGAACACTCATGTAACTGTAAATATCAAGAATTTCTTCATTCACAACTAAGCCTCTGAAGCATCCTATAAGTCCTTGTTGGACTGATGATTTTGGATCGAGAAGGTCACTAAAAAAGTGAACTTCAAATATTTATCAAATCAATTTTGAGAACAATTAGATTTTTAAAATGACATTAACATTTGTAATTACTTTGGCGCTCCTCCTATGAACATTGATCCTTCAAAAGGACCAAACTCTTCTTCTGGCTTTAAATCAACCATTTGGTAATCCTCATTTATCATAAACCTAAAAGTCAAACAAAATATTTTGTAAATAAACAAAATACAAGAAGCAAAAAATTAAGGCCTAAAAAACCGGAAGGAGATACAAACCTGAATGTTCGGTCTGATGAACTTAATGCAGAGAATAAGCATATTTAGGTTTTCTTAGGCCTTAATTTTTACTTCTTGTATTTTGTTTATTTATTTATATAAACCCTACCAAGCCTTCAGCTCCATCTACGGTAATGTAGATGAAGCAAGCATGTTTGTCCAGTAGGCCGCTGGTTTTATTTTTGGCGGTACTATCTGTAATTGTTACAGCTGCCGCTAGATGGCGAGAGCGGCTAGCACTCGCCATAGTAATACGTTTTGTACTCAAATGCTATTCTCTGCTTTTCGTTTGTCACAGAGAGAAACTAATAACTAAAGTGAGAGGGCTTGTGGAATAGGGCATTTCGTAGACAAGTTTATTTTGTCACCACGCATCCCAGACGCGCACAGCATTTAGACGATCAAAAAAGAAAGTTTTCAACCATAGATAAAAGAAAATAATCTTCTATTAAGATAGATATGAAACATAATAGTAAAATTTTGGGTCAAAGCGCCCCTCCGTGTTCTTAGTGGAGACTACGTTTAACCCAGCGCCTTCGCCTTTTTTGCTGTAAATATTTTTTATATTTATATTTGATTTCAAAGGATTTAGTTTTAAAGTTACACTGATATATTAGTATATCAGAGTAACTTTAATAAAACATAAGAATATATATACAGGGTGTCCCAGAAATGAGTGCAGATATTTTAACTGGTAGTATAGTTCAACCCCAGAAACACGCCTATGAGGTTTTTTTTGCGAAAAAAAAATGTTGAAAATTTTATATTTTTCTTGACATTTTCCGGAAAATGTTGAAAAACTTTTGAGTGCCACTGTTCACTCCCCGGGAAATTCGTTTACCGGGCATAGAGAGTGTCGGAGAGAATGCAACGTTGCCATCTCCTACCATACCCACATTCTGCATGTTTATCTATAAATTCAATTATTTTAAGTTGCTACAGAAAAAAATACGAAAATTAATTTTATTCATATTAGTGTAGATTGCTCTACTAATTCTAGTGAAACGCGCAATATTTTAAATACTTTTTACAGTGGAGTAAACTGAAAAAAATAAATCTTAACAATTATAGCTTCTTTTTTCGCCATATTAGAAAATATTTTCAATCGTTTCAATAAACAAGTATAACCTTTAATGTTTAGTTAGAGCTTACCCTTTTAATGAAAGTGTTTTTATCCAGCACACATATACGCAAACACATACACACCAAATATCTATTAAACTGAAAATCACAAACCTATCACATGCTTATCACTTTTAAAATATTATTTAAATTTTTTCACATGATAATAATCAAACACTAAACTCATAAATACAATAAAAAATGTTAAAAAAAACTTGCTTTAATAACTACTTATATCCGGCTGCTGATGGTAGACAGTCCGGGGTTTTCTTCGACATTTCTTCAAAACCGACGCAACCCCGATTTCGAAAACACTGAAGGAATTACAAATTACAATTTTTTATTTGGGAATTTTTTGACTTAGCGTCCTCTACTGGACTGATGTATTACTATTATGGGTCAACGTTTTGGTGGTTGTATAAAGATAGATAAATCATTTTCTAAATGTTTAATGTATGGAGTAGGGATATCCCAAAAATAAAATAAAAGTACAAGAAAGGGTATACCCAAGAAAGAATTAAGGTAAAATCAAAGAGTATTCTACGTTATCTAAAATATAAAAATATGGGAAGCCCCGACAAAAATCTGACACCTGATATCAAAGTGATAAACAAACATCGGCGCATGCGGCAGCGAGCACTTACACTTAATTTTTCAGTTCATTGCTAGATGGCCTTTTACTAGGGATGCACTGCAAACAAATATTCCAGCAAAATTAAAGTGTTTTTTCTTATTCTAAATTCTAACAAATAAATAAACCTGTAAAACTGTATAAATAAAATCGGTCTTCGATTTAAAAAAAAAGATCGATTATACCAAAAAATCGTTTGATAAAAATCGATTCGAATAGTACATCCCTAGTATGGTGTGTAGTTTAAGGTTATGTTTAAAGTTATTCGTGGGTTATTAAACTCGCACAAAAACAAAACAGAAAACAACAAAAAACAATGCAAACAATGCCAAATAAACCTGTAAAAAAGTACTTTTATTATTCAAAATGAAATATCATATAATTCAGTTGGTATACGAATATTTTTTGATTTATTTATAATGTTTGGTGTCAAAAATATGTGAGAAATGAGGTAAACAGTTTAAATGTCTTAATAAATTCGTTTTTAATTTATTAACCTTTCAGGTATCTACCTAATGGTAGGAAGAAATTAATTATGTAATGGTAGGAAAAATAATTTCACTTTAATTATGTATTAGAAAATCAGTAATCTTAAATTAGGATGCATCAATGGAGAAGAAGGCAATTGTAATCACAATACAATAATAGATCTACAAATACCAAGCAATACATTAAACCAAAAATCTCAGTAAGTTTTGTTTTACATGAAAATAATTATCCCATTTAATTATGCATTAAATTTTAGTGTCAGCTTATTGATAGCTCGATTACCAGTCAAATAGTTTCGATGTTTTCTATACTATGAAGAAAATTTGATCTGATTAGATTAATTCAGATGTAAATTTATGTTATACGGTAAGATATTTTTAAACAAACCAAGAAAGTTCTCTTCAGACAAGTTCTGGTCTGAAATTGCTAATATTAACGAAAAAGTTATACATGTAGTTTTCTATTCATAAATGATATTATTGATTTTATTTTAGGTGAATGTATCGAGTCATATATTATGCAGAATATATTGAGAAAAATGGTAAACTAACTAAAAGTGCTAACAAAATTTCTTAGGAAGTTATCGATATACCTAATTATTAGAAGCTGTAACAAATGTTCAAAGAGTCAGAGTATACTTTATTAGAAGTGTGTTAGATAGAATTATACACTTTAAAGAAAATATCTTTTATTATTGCAGGTAATGCATATTGTGTAATGCATATAATATGTGAAATCTATTATTACATACAAAGATTGAAAATTATTTAAACAGCTACCTGTATGTTGTCTCACAATCTCATTTAGTGAATGGGTTATTAAAAATTGAACATATTTACACACAGAATATTGTGGATATGGATATCTGGAAAGCATGTTATAACCATTTTTATTTTTAGGATTTATGAAATGATTACATAAATATACTAACAACAAATTGCAATGCATCTGTATATTAGAGACAAAGATGAAAGAGAGTAACAAGAATATATGTATTCAAAAGAAAAATATCAAGACCATTTGTAGTAATTAAAATTAAAGAATAAAATACATAAAATGTACCATATGATCGAAAAAAAAACGGCGTCCAGTTGGCTGGGAAATGACGATCAATGACATTTCCTATATAAATTTACATATAAAATGACAGCGACCTTCATTTCATAGCCATCGTTGACGCCGTTTTTTCTCGATCATACGGTAGTTTATGTGTGAACAAATTCTCATTTCATATAAAAATTGGAGCTCTATCTAGAGTATATTTGAATATAAATGTTTTTATGTATTGGAAGGGGGACTGTAGTTTTCAAATATAATAAAGAAAATAGACTAAAAAAACATGTGTGTAAGTTCTTTTTTAAACTATTCTGTAAGTTACGTAAATGTGTTTCAAATAGGTTGCTTTTCACAATAAAGTCAATACACAGTAATTATGCTTTACTTTTTCAAAACACACTCTTGTTTTTTATTATCAGAGAGTTATTAATATTAGAAAATTTAGTTACATGAATATAATAGGAGCAAATATTATGTTTCAAGTTTCAAGTAATTAGAATATGATATGAGTCATAATAGCTTAAATATGATTGCTCATAAAATACCTAGTATATACACATTTAGATATATCTCTTTAAATATAAATTAGTATTGCCACCATGCGATTAATGGGAAATACAATATGGTCGTGAAAAAAAAAACGGCGTCAGCGATGGCTATGAAATAAAGATCGCTGTCAATCTATGTGTAAAATTTTATGGAGAATTTCACCGACCGTTATTTTCAAGCCATTCTGGACGCCGTTTTTTCCGACCATACGGTATTTCTAGGTATGGAATTATGTCTCTAATATGTAGTTAGGTAATTTTTTCCATTTGCCTATTGTTAATTATAACGTCGTCAAACTATAAAATTTGCTATATTTTTTAGTTAATTTTTTTTAGTAATATCAAAACATGTTTTGAATAGTTTAATTAGTAATAAAGCTACTAACATATTCAGTTATTCTTTTTTCTATAAAGCTTTTTTGATAAAAAAATGAGTATACCTGCTAAGACGTTAAATTGCCTGAGAAATTACGATCGATGCCATTTACCATCCACTTTTACACAATAAAATGCCATCGATCGTAATTTCAAAAGCAGAAAACTTGCCGCCGTTTTTTCCAATGAAATGGGCGGTGGGGAGAAAATTACAGATTCCTGTATTATATTAACGACTAACGACATTATTAATCGCATGTACACAAAGCATGTACACTATTAGAAATCGATCTAATTTCTAATATTATCGAGCTTTTAAAATTCGAGAAAGTGATCGGAGATTGTGTTTAAAGTGTTGTGAAATGTTCGTTAGTGCATATTTTTGTGTCGGTAATCGGTATCGGTATAGGCAAATCACGATGGAGTATAGAAATCCGGAGAAGGTGGATATGCTAAGAGCATAGGTACTTTCTGGCAGGGGAAAGCGCTGTAGAAGCTCGGAGACTTTATTCCGAAGAGTATCCGAATAGATAAATCCCTAATGCTCGAACCTTTGTAAGTATGGTTCAGCATTTGAGGGATTCGGGAAAAGCAACGAAGAATTGCTGCAAAACGTTAAAAATTCCATGCTCAGAAGAAGGAGAGCATGTATTGGAAATGGAGGTCGTCATTTTGAACAATTATTATAATAGCATGCAGTCAAGAAGCGAAGGGTATACCGGGTGGTGCATCATCGTTGGAAATATAGGATATCCCATGCAAATTTTGAACTGTCGAGATATTGGATCCCCTTGTGCAAATTTGTAATGTATCTTTAAAAACCATTTACGATTTAGCTCTAAAATTAATAGGGGAGCCAATATTTCCACAGTTGAAAATTTGCATAGTGTTGTTAAGAATTGTAGTGAAGTGATGTTATTAAGTGTAGTGTTATGTGCAGTTTTAAGAGTGGTAAAATGGAAAAAAAGAAAGCTCTGCAGTTGTATCTCTCTGCTATAGGGATATCTTTTTTTATTGTTTGGTAAGTTTTTTTTCTTTTAGTTTATTTTGTGTAATGTGAAAAGTAGGGCTACTGGCGATCACCCACTTAAAAAAAGTAACGCACCTCTGCAGAACCTCTTGGATGGTGTGGGATTTTGCAAGTACTTTTTAAGTCTTTCTAGTCGATGTGGCAACAGCGGGCGGCGAACAAGCTGAGATCCGCGAGATCTCTCCCCCGCGCCGGGGGATCCGCGAGATTCCCCGGCGGCTCTCAAAATGTCGCAATTTTTTTTTTAAACTTTCAAAGTTAAATAACTCGGTTATTTTCAATCTATTTTAAAAATGGTAAAGAGAAAATATGTTTCTTTTGGCCAGATCTACCACCCCTTAAAATATCTGCACTCATTTCTGGGACACCCTGTATATTTTACAGTTTATTAAATATAAATTTTGACTACAAGGTAGAAAGTAAATCACAATATTTGACAAAACTTATAAGTATATCATTTTTACAGTTAATGAATAATAAAACTATTTCTGACTATGATATTTAAAATTTAGATAGATAGAATATTAAAAAACATACCGATATTTGCAGACGCAGGTCCAAATTCAATAAAAACCAAAATTTTTCCTGCGAAAATCGGGCTTTTTTCACAGAAAAGGTATTTTTTGATTTATCAACAACCATTGTCAAGTTGACAATATACAGGGTTTTTTCTAATTAGTCTACAAAATTGTGGTGTGATTCCTCATGTCTTCTTAAAACAATTTTTATATAACCATTAGGTCTAAAGTTCTTATCTTACTTCCTTTCTGATCTACAGGGTGTTAAAAATTTAAAAAAAAAACGATATTTTGCTTAACATAAATGGTACACTACTGATTTTTTAAAGAAAATATATTTTTTTCTTGACTGGCCATCCTTTTTCAACAAAATTGATCTTTTGAGTTTTTCTTGTTCATCAAACGGTTGCCGAGAAAAAAATAAATATACTTATTAAGAGCCCGCCTTAAGCCGTTTTCTAACGATTTTTTATTTTTTAGATTAAATAGGAAACACCAAAGGACAAAACTTATAAGTATATCATTTTTACAGTTAATGAATAATAAAACTATTTCTGACTATGATATTTAAAATTTAGATAGATAGAATATTAAAAAACATACCGATATTTGCAGACGCAGGTCCAAATTCAATAAAAACCAAAATTTTTCCTGCGAAAATCGGGCTTTTTTCACAGAAAAGGTATTTTTTGATTTATCAACAACCATTGTCAAGTTGACAATATACAGGGTTTTTTCTAATTAGTCTACAAAATTGTGGTGTGATTCCTCATGTCTTCTTAAAACAATTTTTATATAACCATTAGGTCTAAAGTTCTTATCTTACTTCCTTTCTGATCTACAGGGTGTTAAAAATTTAAAAAAAAAACGATATTTTGCTTAACATAAATGGTACACTACTGATTTTTTAAAGAAAATATATTTTTTTCTTGACTGGCCATCCTTTTTCAACAAAATTGATCTTTTGAGTTTTCTTGTTCATCAAACGGTTGCCGAGAAAAAATAAATATACTTATTAAGAGCCCGCCTTAAGCCGTTTTTTCTAACGATTTTTAATTTTTTAGATTAAATAGGAAACACCCTGTATATGCATATCATAGGCAACCAAATAAACTAGTAACCTCTAAAAATTATTTTTCCTACCACTAGCGACGTACCGTGTTTTTAGTGAGTACTAAATTATTTTATCAAAATTTCACCATATAAGTTTCCAGGCAATGGTTTTCAACTTTGCAAGTTAAACATTTGACAGGATTAATTAGATTGTCAGTAGCTTTTTCTATTTCTTAGTTCTAGAAGGAGATAACTAAAATCTGTTGATAATCGGAGCAAATCGGAGTAATAAATTGTTTTTGACTGAATGTGCCTGTTCTTTTAGCTTGTCAGAAGAGAAGATTATTGTCATTATTGATTATTTCAGATTCCACGATTATTCGGCATTTTTGTAATTTTTGTTTTGTGGTTGAGACCCAGACAAAACGTTTCCTTTAAAAGTAAGTTTTATCTCGGTAATTATTTTAACATACCTAATAGTAATAGTGAGTGTACATAATAATGGTACATTGCTAATTTAATTTTTTTAATTTAAAACATCACATTCTTTTCTGATACTTATGAAACGACTAGGTATTATATCTGGTATTATTTCCAGTAATACAAATTATTTTTTTCAACTGCTAGGTTCTTGTTATAGAATAAAGACTATCAAAAACATTGAATAACTACGGGATACCTACTGATACTCTGTGTGAGCTCCCAACCGTGCTTCCCTGTTCACTCCCAACCAAGTTAGATAAAAAAGATACTGAAGATTGCAGCCTTGAGTTGAAGTATGGCAAGGAGTATGGAGTTAAATAAATTATTATGTTTCTACGCAGTATTTTATTTATACGGTTTAATGCTTTAAAGTCTAATAATAAATTTTCTTTGTCAGCAAAATAATCTAAAAAAACTACGAAGATTTCTTATTATAAACTTGGAAGATTAAGATTCGGTTCAAATATACAAATTTTAAATTTTTGGCGCCAGTGTATAGGTATGAATGCAACCTACTATATCGATAATGCGCTCATAGTTCGGGTTAGACGCCAAGGGCCGCGCCACTAACACAGTCTTCAAAAATTAACGTTGATTAAAAATTAACGTCTCTCTCACTTTAGTTATTAGTGTTCTCTCTGGTTTGTCAGATCGAGGGTTACAGCAAAGTCGGCCTGACGATGGAGATAAATCTCCGAAACCGGTCGTCGAATGACTGTTCCGAATAAGCATATATTTAGGGTTTTTCAGATCTTAATTTTTTGCTTGTTGTATTTTGTTTATTTATTTATATAAACCCTACCAAGCCTTCAGCTCCATCTACGGTAACGTAGATGTAGCAAGCAAAAATATTTTGTTATAAGAAAATGCAACAGACAGTACATCAGAGAGAAACTAATAACGAAAGTGAGAGGGCTTGTGGAATAGGACATTTCGTAGACAAGTTTATTTTGTCACCGCGCATCCCAGACGCGCATAGCGTTTCTTCTTTCTTCTTCTTTCTCAGCCTGGTTCCATCCAGTGTTGGATATAGGCCTCTTCTAGGTTTTTCCATGCTTCGCGATCTCTAGCCAATCTTATCCATTGTCTTCCCGCCACTGCCCTGACGTCATCGACCCATCTCTTTTTTGGTCGGCCCACACTTCTTGTTGTTCCCCTAGATCTCCATAGGATTACTTTTTGGGGCCATCGGTCTGGATCCTGTCTTGCCACATGTCCTATCCATTGCCACTTCAGACTTGCCACTCTTTTAACGACATCTATTAATTTTGTTTTTTGACGTATGTGGGTATTCCGTATTTTTTCTCTAATTGTTGCTCATTATCTTGGTCTTCTTCAAGTCTTCAAAAATTAACGTTGATTGGTCTCTCTCACTTTAGTTATTAGTGTTCTCTCTGCAGTACATTAATGCACTCATAAATATCTGTATTTCATTACATGTTTTATTAATTTTAATTTCATAACGCTATTTATCTATTGTATGGCTAAACATCACAATAAAACACAGAATCATAATCATTGTACAAGTAAAGAGCAGGAAATAGGTATGTGTACAAACAATAATAATAGTCTGACAGTCTAAAATGTACAAACAAATATACATATAACAAGTATCACAAACAAACATCTAAATTACGGATGTATTCGACTGCACTGTCTGTAGCTTCCAGAAAATCATCAAAGGGATGCTTCTACTATGTGCTGGATAGTTTGTCATAACGCTATAATGGTTTCACTCAAAATAGAATAGTTTCTCTCACATATTCAGTATTCTTATTTAGAATTATTCTAGATCCTTTAATCTGTCCAACACATTTCTGTTGACAATGCTCAAAGGATCTTTTATACTACGTATTACATATATTATTATATTATTATATATACATATATTATTTTTTGGAGTGATTTAATTTTTAAGACTACCTATTAGGTTACTATTAGTTTACTTGTTTAAAATCCGCCTCTACACTGCTGGCACAATAGTCCGAAGTAAGTCAAGGTCAAATAGTAAAGACATTTATTTTTGTTTCCTCGTCTAACTTTGGTTCGTCCCGACTTATTTTCATTTCGTAAAACGTCTTTAATCTATTATTATTCCGGGGATTATCGGATTTCCTATTTCTTCTGTCGCGTTCAATTTCGTTTTGTCTCGAGCTATTTCCATGTCATGTCGATTTTTAAGCCCGAGTCAAAGGACTTTTTTTCATACTATGATAATAATATAATATAATAATTTATTCAAACTTGATATAATACAGTAACATTAATATTTACGCTTCCCCTCGGAACCTGCTTTGAAAGATACACAGATAATATCCGGAGTCTTGAATACAGCACCGTTTGATCCGAAGGAAAAAATATATAAATATGCAACATAATATAGCCTAATATACGCCCACACATACAAATGATTAATCAAACAACTAAATAATTACAAAAAAAGCAAAAAAAGGGTATACATCTGAAAAATATCTCGAAAATTATAAATATAAAGAATTTTAATTTAACTTTCCCCTTTTTGTTAATATAGCATAAGCCAATATATGTATTTAATAAAATATCATCAAATATGATAGAAATATGCATTGATAAAAAATATAAACTATTTCTATTTCAATAACTATAACTAACAATATACCAGGACATACAAGTAAAAATAAACATGAAAAGGATATTTTATATGTAGATAAAACCATTGCTCTGTATTTCAATATTAATCGTTTATTAGAGCATGTACCAACAATCTATTTTCTAGGATCCATTTTACAATTGCTTTTTTAAATCTAAAAAGGGAGATTGTTTTTCTAATTTCACCCGATACTGAGTTATATAGTTTTGGTCCTATAAAATATAAGCATCTTTGTCCTATTGTTTTATTTACTCGGTTCTCTTTTATACATTTCATTTCTGATGATCTGGTTTCATAAGAATGTTCGATTTCAACACGTGTTAACGGGTTTGTGTGCATATACAATAATATTTTTTGGCGTATGTCTGTCTAACGTCAAGTAATTGCATTTCTTGGTACAGATCTTCCGTTGAATAAAACCTTGGTTTTTTAAAAATAATTTTTAAAATACTCTTTTGTGCGATTTCTAACCTCATCATATAAAACTTGCGCAATCACCCCAACCCAGAATTCCATAGTTAATCAACGATCCTACCAGCGCATAACAAACTGTTGTTAAATTAAAATATTATATTAAATAAAGTTCAGTACAATACATAAACCTAGATGTTTCTATAATACCTGTTATTACAATGATATTTTTCTGATTCCTCTCTTTATGTTGATATATATTTCACAAGATTAAAATTTCAACATGCATATATAATGCATAACAGAAATTTAAGGGCGAATCTTTTCGATTAATGTGCAGAAATATAATTATTACAATATTTTCATTACTTTATTATAGTCTAATGGAAAATTTATAATTGAAATACTTCTAGGAATATTTCGTGAATAATGTAGAGGCCGTCTATTAATTTATTAAAATAAATTAAGTCACACAGCGATATTATTTACATACCTGACATGATATTTATTGTAATCAATCCAAAGTTTATGCCATTCTCCACCATTTAGTCGACGGCCGGACACAATAACTAATTCTTTGGAAACACCAGTATTTAAAGTAAAGTTGAAAGTAAGTTGAAAATCTATAAATATTCTACTATTAATTCTATAGATATATATTTATCATCACAGCCTATTCAGTACCAGCCAGCGAAGTTATTGTCTTTTACATTGGAATTTGCAAAAAAAACTGGATATTCGTTTATATTATATTAAGTTAAAGCCCATATTGACTTGAACCGAGCACGAGTTGACGAGCGCTTCGTTTGTAATCGAAACGCAAAAATCTTGTTTCGAATGCTTAGCTCGCTGTGTTCCAGTATGTTTTCACTCTTTAAAAAATTTCGGATTTAAAAATTGAGAGTTCTACATTTATTCAGTTTTTTAGCTAGTTATTATATTTTTTACACCGTCAATTAACAGAAGCACGTTTAACTATAATTAAAGCCACTATATTTACTAGAAATATAATTGGAATACGAACATTCGCTGAACCTGCACTGACTTGTAATGTGACAATCAAAGAGATTCTCTAAAAAAATCAACAGTCGCCTATTTTCGGGGATTGACTAGCGAATGCTCGTTTTGTAACATGTTACATTACAACGCTCGGCTGAAGTCAATCTCCACCTTAACAAATCACATATAGAGCTCCACTGAGGCTTGGTCTAAGTAACTTGAGGACTCTCCAAACTACCGGGAGTAGATTGCTGAGTACTGAATAAGCTATAGTTATTGTAGTGCTTACCACTGGTAAGAGCTACCATAAAACTGGGATAATTAGGCCGAATTGGAGGTTGATAGAGTAATATGGCTTTTTTTCCAGTAGTTCTAAAGGAAAATGCCAAGTCACCTTTCCTCCATCCCGGAACTTCTATGTATGATTGGCTCGTGGTAAAAGTTACTACATATCGTTGAGTGTCTAAAAGGATTTTTTAAAATAAAAGGTATACCATTCACAAAAATACGTCTTTAAGCATATCTTTAATTGGAGCAGAAATTGTAAATATCAATCTGTACATGATTTACACAAAGTTTAAAATAGACACTCTCTTTTAATATGAATTCAAAGTAGCAAAAATTTGAAGTAGTTCATAGTAATAAAAGATTAAATGTACCAAAAAATAGAGTACGCCACCACAATATCATTAAACGTTTTTTCTGCGTAAAAAGTCAGCTTTGCACAAATGGTTTTATGTATGGATCAGAACTATATATTGATGATTTGTTGCTCGAATTAAAATTGATATTCATGCAAGTGTTATGCCCAACAGCTAACTCAAATGAAAATTAAATCACCCATAATGATGGGCGTAAAATAAATATCACCCATACACTCATATTTCAGTAATATTGCCATATTAAATTGGGAATTAACCCGCATAAGGCCGCCATTTTGGAATGTAATATTATAATAATATATAGTAAGGTATACAGGGTGAGTCTTAAATAAGCGCAAATATTTTCAGGAGTGACCTCAGGAACCCAGGAACACATCTATGAGGTTTTTTTTTCGCAAAAAAGATGTTGAAAATCGTGCATTTTCTTTTAAATTTCCAAATTTTTTAAAAATTTTCGAAAACTTTTTAGAACTGCCTGTTCACCGCAAATTTTCCCACGGTCTAATTTCTTAATCTCTGATACATACATATTACATACATACTGCCATTACTCGCTGACGAGTATTTGACACGAATCAGAAGATGGTTACGCAAGGCGTTTTCTTTCATGAGCTTTTCTGTGACTGAAAAGCCCGATACGTGATGTTATCTGCCTACCGCACTCCGGATATTCAAAAATCTCATTGCTTTGTTGCCTCTTTACTTTTTGGTTGTCGCTCTTAACTGAGTTTACAATTCTTCTCCATTGAGTTCTATTGTGAGCTGCTTCTTCCCACTCATTCTGCATATTAATCCCCTTTAAGTTGTCGTGGAAAATGTCCTTGTACCTTTTGAGTTGTCCACCTTGTATCTTTTGAGTTGTCCGGCCTCCTCTTACCGTTTACAAGCTCACCGTAAACCAGACATTTTGGTATTGCGGTTTTCTTGCATTCTGCATACGTGACCAGCCATCTTAAGCGGGAATTTATAACCATGACTTCAATACTCTCGCAGTTAGCTTTTTCAAGGACCGATACCTTTGAGACATGATGGAACCATCGGATTCTTAAGAGTTGTTTAAATTTTTAAATTTTTCATGTGTCGGCGGCACGGCACCCAGGTTTCGCTCCCATATAACATGGTGGAGATTATAATTGCTCGATACACTGCAAGTTTCGTTTTTGTACTCAAGACATGATTATAGAAAATCCTGTCTTTTAATTTCCAGAATGCTCTTAAGGCGCTGCTAATCCTGTGCTGAATTTCAGAGTCAATATTGGCATTTCCCGAAATCAAACTGCCGAGTTAATTGAATTCCGCTACATATTCTAATAGTTCTTCTCGGATTTTTATAGCATTGTTGTGATCTTCCGGGGGAGTGTACATTATTTTGGTTTTGTCGATGTTTAGCTTAAGGCCCAGACTCTCGTATGCCCAGGTATATGTGTTCAACATTTCTTGTAATTGGTGTAACGTCTTTGCAACTAGAGCGCAGTCATCAGCGTATTGAAGAGTCTTTTTACGTTGAACAGGCCGCCATCGTATCTATAGCTAATGCCCAATCCTCTCTCCTTCAGTTTGCTGTCCACTATAATGGAGAGCGCTGCCATGAATATGTTGAACAGGAGAGGCGCTAAGACACATCCCTGCCTGTATTATGTATTTGTTAGGAAGGGATTGCTCAGTGATCCATGATGGTGACACTCTTGACTTGTAGTTGTTATAGAGGCTTTTCCACACTGTAAGAAATTTGTTGGGTACTCCAAACTTTTTCATAATTGCCCAAAATGTATCTCTGTTCACAGAGTCGAAGGATTTTGTTAGGTCTTATGAATGCAACATAAAGTTTAGACTGCTGCTCTGTTACTTTTTCGTGTGGTTGGTAAGAATTTTTCCTTCGATAGCCAATAGTGAAATTGCCCGATAATTTCCGCAGTCTGATGCACTTCCTTTGTTCTTAAATATATTTATTTATAATCTCTGATATTACCATGGTTACGGCACTAAAAGGAATGCAACATTGCCACTTCCTAAATGACCTATATTTCTAATATCCATATATATTTTTTTCCCTTTCTTGGGTATGAGGTTTTTTTTTTATTAATTGAAAATGGAAACTTTTTTTTTATTATGCGACGTTTAGCCTCATCATGGTGGGCTTTCTCAGGCACTTTATTCTTGAAGCCGCAGCTGCCTATTATATAGTATAGAAGAATGTAAGTGAATTCACTTACATTCTTCTATATAGACTGGTGGTAGCAAGTCTATATAGCGCTTCAAGAATAAAATGCGGCAAGAATAATATGCGGCTTCAAGAATAAAGTGCCTGAGAAAGCCCACCATGATGAGGCGAAATGTCGCATAATAAAAAAAAAAAGTTTCCATTTTCAATTAATAAAAAAAACCTCATACCCAAGAAAGGAAAAAAATATATATATATGGATATAATTCTAAAGGTTTAAGAAAAAGAAAAAAAAATAAACTCTTATATTTCTAATTATTCATATGAATGCAAATATATGCAATTAACAAGTTGCTGAAAAGGGGTGAAAAATTCAGAAAATGAGTGAACAAAATACCCTGTTTTATAAAGCGCAGAAATTCTACTTGTGCCATTATGATTAATTTATCTATTTCAGTATTCACATAATAAATAACTCTAGAATAAAACACCAATAATATGGGCCCTTAACCGGTTTTAAGTTTAATTATAAGTTTATGGCTTTGGTACTAGCATACATCTCTACCTTTAAATTTCCCTCTATATTTTTCGAAAACTTTTTAGAACTGCCTGTTTACCGGAAATTTTCCCACGGTCTAATTTCTTAATATCTGATATTACCATGGTTACGGCACTAAAAGGGGTGCAACATTGCCACTTCCTAAATTACCTATATTTCTAATTATTCATCTGGGAAAATGCAATTAACAATTAAAAATTGCTGAAAAGGGCTGACAAATTCAGAAAACGTATGAATTAAATATCCTGTATTATAAAGTGTAGAAATACTAGTTGTGTCATTATGATTAATTTATCTATTTGTCTAATAATATTTATCTAATAACTCTAGAATAAAACACACCTCTTTAACCAGTTTTAAATTTAATTATTAATACCTTTAATAACGAACACATAATACATGTGTTTTGAGTGTAATATATTATTTTTGTTCGATTTTTAGTGTCTGACCTTGTCATCACAAGCCAATCTCTATCCAATATTTTTCTGAGAGTTTGCGTCTATTAAAATAATGTGTTTGGAATTTAAAATTATCTACCTATACACCTCCATGTGGTATTGTGTGTACTCCACATGCAATGTATTGCAATTTTTCAAATGAGAAAATAATGAGGTTAACAAAATTAAAAACGATTTATTTTAAAATTTAAATAAATTTTACATTGTTTTGTTATTCTGTCAAGTGATTACTGTCAAGTAAATGTCAGTTTTAGAGCAGGACATTCTTATTAGAGATCGATAGTTATGATTATTGCGTACAGTATTATAAAAACTACATTTCAACAGCATGTCACAATATAAAAACTATAAATATTAACAAACTGTATCAAGCCACGTTATTTCATTTGCACGATTTCAAACCATAAAGTGTTATCGACAGGAATTTTTTAATTTAGTAATCAAAATATAATAATTTTAATTCAATAAATTCGGCCCGACCCTACCGCCTACAGTGCCCCTGGCGTAAAGCAAATTAAACCGGTAAAACAGCTGAAGTAACAGAATGTTTTGAAATTGTTGTGTTTACTAGTTTCAAAATGTTTTTAAGTTGATATAATTCATTTTTATTTATAGTTTAAAGAAAAAAAAATTGCTTTAACGAAGATTGCCTTCCCAAGTAGATACATCAGTCAAGAAAAAAATAAGCCAACAAAAGCAAACTTTTACCATATATACCGAAATAAAACAGGTAGGATAATCTTAAAGAAGGAAGGAAGATTTTACAAAGATATATTTTGTTAGTAAATGATTGGAATATATTGATTTTCCATATTTTGTGTTGGTTTGGGTTGGATACAGATAAGGCAGGACTTGCACGTTAAGAATATAATAAATAATAACTTAACAGCATAATCTCCTATTTAAATATCAGATAAGTTTTTTCTATTTATTGTGTGGGATAGCAGTATTACTGGCGAACATCATTAAATGTGTTTCTTTTATTGAGATCTATCAGCCCTAAAAATATTTCTACTTATTTAAGACTTACCCTGTATATTTAAATTTACTGTCTAGTTTTGCAACAGATTGGTTGTGAACCAATGTAAATTAACATCTATAGCTCTAACGTATCTTGATTCGATTTTTTCGATCATTCAGTATATATGTGTAAATTATTATCGTATAATATTGTGTTAATACAAAGGTCGACTAAAGCAAGTAGCATATACTTGCATATGCAGTTCGATTATAAAGAGAATGATTAAATTGACGGTAATAATTTAATAGCCTTAGAATTGATTTATATAATGGAGTGGCTTTAAACAGCCTTATTATACATAATATATAGTCGTTACTGTAACCGCCTTAAAAATTTCACAGAACAATTCCAATGGCTTAGTCATCATTCACTTAAGTAAAAAGGAAATTTTACATTTATTTTAATAGACAGACATGTTCAACCATAGATCGTCTAAAGACCTTTAAGATAGATATATTTAAATGTGATAAAGCTTCATTCAGAACTTCAGTGGAATAAATTAGTAGTTTCAATTAGCCGTAGAAGTTTGTTCACGTAGTAAGTCAGTTGGTAGTAATTTTCAGTTATTGGAAAAAGTTAATAAACTTTTGACTTTTCCACTA